ACAACAACAACAACAACAACAACAACAACAACAGCAACTAACGTCATCACAAGAAGCTCTTGATTTCTCGCTAAAAAAAATGACAAAGGTAGAATGAAACAAATTATATTAGATTGCAAAAAAAAGTAAACAAAGAAAAAATCATTCAATAAATTTTAAATCCGATTTTTTTTGTGCTATAAGTTGTAAAAACGATAGTGCCAAAATGCAAAAATGTCATTTTTAATTGATATTTAAAGTTCAACTCGAAAAAATGCCAATACGACAACTTCAATACTTGTTATGTCTAGCATTCGATGTAGGAAAAAAAAAGTGCTTGTAAACACATTCATTTATTGATCTATAAAATGCTTCTTTTTTTTGTTATTATTTGAATTCTTTGCAAAAAATATTATTGATTAAAAATTATTTAAAAAATTGTTTATTTGAAGGAATCAACTGTTGGAGTTGCAAGTACTACGTCAAAACAATCCACGGACGCTCACTCACCGTTTACGTCTTCCACTAGTAGCGATTTGACGCAATTACTGAGTGATGATTGCGAATCGAGCATTAATTCGACATCAACATTGTATGCTTAACGTTACCCAACTTTGATGATGGAGAATAAAAAGTTTTAGGAAAAAGGAGAAACGATGATTTATGATTGCAAATATTCCGTGATTTTCTGCGAATGATGAAATTTACAGAAAGTTAAAATTTGTATAATTCATTCCAGAATGCTGTGTTTCGGAAATAGTTTTTATTTGTTTCATTCTTACAACCTGCAATTTTTCTTTTTTTCTGAACTTTGATTAATTCAGGTCATCACCTATTTCACCGCTCGCCACTAATGAAAGACAGCCAAGGATTACGCGACCTAACGTAATCCAAAATCCAGTGCATCGTCCAGTTGCAACTAAAATTCCGCAAAGTGCGGTACCACAAGTGGCAACCGGATTGTCACCGCTACAACCGAGCGCTATCAATCCGTACAATACGCTGTTGCATGAATTCTGGCGGCGTAGCTCGGCTTTAGGTGTTACCACAGGCGGAATTTGGGTACCACCGCAACCAAACCATGGTGTTGCCGCAACGCCACATATTGCTCGACCATGTTCACCCGGACGACCACCTGCATGCTCACCTGCACCCGCGTTTGCAGCAACAGCAAGTCCACCATTTGGTACTACACTTGCCGGGACGCTTTATCCTTCCACTACTCCTACAAAAGCATCATTTTTTGCCGCTCAACCGCAACATCTCCTCCCTTTGAGCATTCCGCCACCGCCATTGGCAACTTCGCCGACTGCCTTCCAAGCTGCCTCCAGTAATTCGCCGTACCTGCGTAATAGACATCCATATCCAGTGCAAAAAGTGCTTGATTCTTCAGTAATTACTAAAGATTTCAATACAAAATAGGATCTAAATTTAAATTCTATTCAAATCACTTCAGAATTCACTAAATACGATTCCCTAAACAAAGCATTTTTTGCCAAAAATTTCGCTTTGATAATAAAAAGAATTTTATATGCGAAGGTTTTTTTTTTTAATTTTTATATATGCGAAGGTTTTTTTTCCCTGGAAGAAACCAAGAAATTTAATATCGAATTTCAGTCTCAAATTAACGGGAAGACTCGGTATGAATGCAAGGAATGTAGTAAAACATTCGGACAACTATCAAATTTGAAAGTACATTTGCGAACACATACCGGTGAACGACCATTCAAATGTAGCATTTGTTTTAAAGAATTTACTCAATTGGCTCATCTACAAAAACATCACCTTGTTCATACCGGTAACTTTAATTTTATGAAATGAAATAAAATCAAATTAAAACACTGTGATGATTAAAAAATATTAAATTATTTGATTTAAGCTATTTATCAATATTCGTCAGCAAAGATGTAGATGCATTTATTGCTTTTTTAGTTTTCCTACAACTGAGTGAGTGTTCATAAATTTGAATTCGATACTTCAACTCATTTTTATATTTACGTTCTTTTCAAATAAATTTTACAGTTTTTTTATATCAATAACAATTAAAATTTTTTTTTTCATTCAAAAATTTTGATTTTTCAAGAGAGTATGAAAATTTTCATTTCATGCCGGAAATTAACATAATGCTGCTAATGCCGAATAAATACAGAATTAGATATTAGTAATCTGATAAGGTGAA